TATTAAGGGTGGTCAATTTTTTTTATTTTGCTCACTGTACATCAAAGACAAAAGGCATCTTATTAAGAGAGAAAAAGATTGTAAATGATTGGCTTAATAACTGTCTGCTTCTAGTAGCAAGCCCAAGGTATACACGTATCTCGTACGTCCTCTCTCTTTTTTTATTTATTTAGTTTTTCCCCTTCTCAGAATGCATTTAATATCTTATTTTGTGAAAAAGTAAGGCCACAAATACACACACAATATGAATAATACAATTACACAATGTGAATATGGGTTAAAATGAAGCAAAATTCAGTGTATTATTATAAACTAGCATTAGCTTCCATCTGAAAAATTCTCATATTCTGAATACATTATATGCTCTATAACAGTGGTTTCCAACTTTCTTATTTTTCATCCACTGCGCAGCTTACTTTCATTACGTCGGACTACTAAATTGATTCGTGCTGAGGCCTTCGCTTTCCGTTGACCCTGAGGGGGGTAAAACAATGCATATGAATAGTTTCAAACCATTAAGTCAAACGAATTTCACAAATAACAAACTTTTTGAGCCGTGATGGTTCAGGGGACGGTTCAGGGTTCGCCTTCAATGAGATGAACCGGTTTCAAATCCCAGTCATAGCTGGTCGATACGAATTCCGCATCCGGCTTGCACCGACCACAGTGCTGACGTGAAATATCCTCTGAGGTAGACGGATCATGGGTTGGAGTCCCCTTGCCGTCAAGCTAACCGTGGGAGGTTCTCGTGGTCTTCCTCGCCATATAACGTATATGCGAGTTAGTTCCCTCAAAAAGTCCTCCACGAAGGCAAATTTCTCCCTATACTTGATCTAGGAGTTCCCTTGTCTTCTGGATTGGGTTCGAAATTAAAAGGGTACGGAGTTGTACATTAGTAGTCGTAAACCCCAAAAATTGGGTCGGCTGTTCAACGACGGTTGTAAAAAAAAATAATAACAAACTTGATAATGAGTTGCATATGACGACAATGAATACTCTGGGGTGCTCTTGGTGTTCATAAATAATCTCAAAGTTTATTGTAGCCTGTCAAAAGAGCCCGAGGTCTAGAAAATAGTACGTGCTCACAGATTTTAAATTTTCTGTTTACCATCCTTAAAAATAGATTTTACGTAAGCACAATACGAAATTGGAAAACTAAGTATACTTGCCGCATGGCTTAAGAGGAAGCTATATTGAGAATGACGCTGTTCATGGCAAATTCTGTTTCACCTGCTTCACTAATTTAAAATTTTAAGTATAAAAAAAGTGAATTCAGACAAACCTAGAATAAGCCCTGAAGTTTCAACTGCTGCAAAAAAATTTTGAAAGGAAAAGCAAAAAAAATTTTTAAACAGAACTTCCTCATTCCTAAATTATCCTCTAGAATTTATTTTCATTTTGAAAATTTCGTATCAGTGTTTGCTTACTCGTGGTTTGTCTGAATTCACTTTTTTAATACTTGAAATTTTTAATTATTTATGGATAATTTGCTATGAAAAGTTTCTCCCATGATTTAGTGTTCTCTTAAAGTGATAATCCTCAAAATCAAATTTTTTGTAAATTTTGACCCTCTTTTTTTGTTGAAGGAAACGTTTTTAAGTGTTTGAATTTTTTCCACTTAAAACTAAAGAAAAGAAACGATGTATCCTATAGCTCGATAAAATAACGAATAAATTACTGAATAACATATAATTCGCATTGTTTATAAACATGAAGCAACTTGAGGAAAAACTTCCTCTTATCAACGATATCTTTACCTATTTTAAGAAACTTAACAGACATTCTTTCACCTCTTAACTACCTCACGAATCGAGAGGGGAAAAAAAAAGGTATATTGAATAACCAGGTCAGTGTCCCGTTTTCACGATCATTCTTCTTTAGGATTGCAATAAGTTACTTTCTCCTTTTTCTTTTACGTTTTAACTAAAACAACAACTATGTTTTTAAATCAGTGCGAATTATTTTTCTATTAAAATTTCAAGCTGGTCACTTAGTTGTGATAAAAAGCAGGATAAAAAAAAAATTACACAGCAAGATTAGCGAAGAAAATATTTTTTAACGAAAACTACAATTATTTGCAATTAATAATATTCGAACAAATTTTTAATTGTAAGGTTATTTTTGCATCATTTTCAAGAATGTATGTTTGACTTATGTTGTGCCTACAGGAAGTTTTATTATTGTGTTTAAATTTGTTCATTACCATTCTTAAAAGCTATTAGTTAAATATACATTATTGCAGGTCGCGAGTCTAACATTTAGGAAAGGCACCACAAAATGATATTGAAAAATAATTCATGTTTAATTCAAAACATATTATTTATTTTTAAATGGGATGAAGGTTTAACTAAACTATACAATTTGAATACAAAATGCATTTAAGGAATTCTTCAAAGAAATCTATATCAAGATATATAATGAAGAAAACGGGTCGTTTAAATATTAAAACGTTTAAAATATTTAATGCAAATTACCTCAAAAGTTTGCAATTTCAAATGTGAGAAAATCTTATAAAAAGCATTTTTATTGCTATGCATTGCAAAAATTGCCTTTATCGTTAAATTTGAGAATTTCAGATGGGTAATTAGGAAAAAAATCTTCTTTTTTGGATTCGAACTACACATAAGAAATTCTCCACAAAGAAATCCATATTGTTACTCTAATAATGAACTGGAATAGATATGAGGAAATGGTTCTAAGGACACACATTTAAAATACTTAACTTTAACGTTAATTTTTTGTTTATTTTTAATTGGAATGAAAATTGCTTCACTTGTTTGCCTTTTTAGATTTAAGAAATTTTATTAAATCTTTTGCTTCGCCAAATCAAGTATTTTATGCATTTAATCAGAAAAAAGTGATAATTTTGAATTCGAAATACATGTACAAAATTATTCTCAAAGGAATCTATACTTTTACGCAAATAGTAAATTAAGATAGATCTGAAAAAATTGACCTGAGAAAGCCATTAATACATTTTAAGTGCTTTACTTTAACGTTATTCATTTTCAATAAAAATTAAGATTTTAATCAATCCTATCTAATTTACTTTAATGCTATTATTTTATTCATTTTTAATTAGAATACTACTTTAATAATTTGTAATTTCAAAAGTAACAAATACATGAAGCAAGTTTTATTTTATAATTATGCAACTCAAAAAGAGAGTGCAATTTTTTATAGCTTTTTCTAAATTCGATATTATATAAAAGCACAAGAAAAAAAAATTAATGGTGGATCCAAAATAAAGAATTAGAAATTCTTCAGAAAAATCGACATTTTTTCTCAAATAATAATTAATTGGGGAATATCTTAGGGTCTAAGAAAGCGAATGATATATGCATCAAGTGCTACTGCTAAAAATAAAAAATATAAATAATTTAATTCTCGACAATGTAGCGAATGAGGTCTTCGATATCCTTTTATTGTATTTTTTCTTAATCTACTCTTTCACATTATTCTGAAAAATAAACTTTAACTAGACGGTTCTAAACGAATGACGATTATAAAAATTCATAATTAATAAAGCTCTATATTGTAGATACTTTGTTAATTTTTAATCTCGTAGAGGAAAAATAGAAATTGGTTGAATAGTTTCAGATGTATCGAAGGGTAGAGATTGAAATATATTTTTTTCTCGAGAGGTTTTTGATGAACTCTGACGATTCGTATCGGTAACGTGTTATATAACTCAGCATGATACACTATAGTGTGTAATTTAAAAACATTATGTAATTATGTTATGTAATGTAAAATTATGTAATTTAAAAACATGCAATTTTAAAAATCAATGTAATTCATTATTTTACACTTAAGCTTTCCTTAAAAAGGAGATAAAAAATCTAAAAAATAGTGTAACACTTTCCCATAAATCAGACAAATTTTAATTCATGAAGAGCCGTCCGAATATATTCGTAAACAAAGAAATTAATACAAGAATGAGTCTTTTTAGTATTTATGGCTTATTAACTTCAATAACACTGTTAGAAATGTTTTGTAATTCGTCTCAAACCATTAAGTCCAAAATCTGATGGAATGTTTATTAAGAAAAAGATAATGATTTTGCGCTTTAAATTATGTATCAAATTATGATTTGTACTTGCTCGAATTAAATTGAATGTCTTGATTCTTTAGTAGTCCAAATGTAATAACATCTTTCGTATTTAAAACCATTGCGCAGCTTAGTAGCCCGAACGCAGTGACATCTATCTTATTTTCATCCACTGCGCAGTTTATGTTCGTTACGTCAGACTACTAAATTGATCCCTGCTGAGGCCTTCTTTCTCGTTTTAATCAGCCTGGAAGTTGCCAGGATTTGGCGATTATTCTGCTGCAGATCACGATACGGAAATTTTTCCGCTTTTTTAAAGTAATAATAGATAAATTTTACAATTAAAAAAATAATAATAATTCTATGACATCATAAACTAATTATTTTTAATTAATTACCTAAAGTAGTTTTAAAATTCATTAATTTTATTAATTCTATTTCTATTAGAAAACTTCCCAATTCCTAACAACTTCCTTATGATCTTAATTTCAAAAAAAAAAAAAAAAAAAAAAAAAAAAAAAAAAAAAAAAAAAAAAAAAAAAAAAANAAAAGAAAAGAAAAAAAAAACAGTATAAATACAATAACAAAAAAATTTAAGGGAACTTATTTTATAAGTAAAATAATAAAGAAAATAAATTAAGTTTTACAACTAACAATTCAAATAATAGCTTTGCAATCGCATTAAAATGAAGCTTTATATAAAACCTAAAATACATGATGTTTTACAGTTGCATAAAAATAGCGCCAAATGAAATAAAAAAAATTTTTTAGAGAGGAATATAAAATTTCACGAACAACCACCGTTAATAATCCGCGCCATTTCTGTTCTTACAATTCGAATTTCGAATGCATTTATGATAACCGATTAAGGAATAAGGAATAATCATAAAGGAATCGATTTCAGTTTTCCTTTCACACGTGAGTTAGGAATAAAATAAAAATAAGCCAAAAGTCGACTGAACCTGTTTATATCTCGCCAACAGAATCCAAATCTACTCAGAAGGAAGGTATGTCAACCTGTTCTTTGAGAATAATCTCTGAAATAAACAGAGCATGGTGATGAACACACGTTGAACTTCATCAGAGGAAAATGATTCAATAATAAGGACGCCAACCGGCAAAGATATGTTCAATACTACGATTACACATATCGTTTGTTTAGTATTTTTAGCGTTTATTGTGATTATCGGCGGGGAGTGCTTTCGAGAATTATATTTCAAATTTTCAGGATTAGCTTGCTTTTTGTGTATATCTTATTTGTTGGCGAGTTTTATTGATAATGCTCTTCCTAGATTCCGAGCAACTTCTGCCAAGAAGGCTGTGTTTATAACAGGTTAGTAAATTTATTACGCATATTAAAATAATAAAAATTATTTTAAAAAATTGTATTTTTTTTATTTTTTAGTTTTGTTATTAAGAGTAAATTTTATTTTAAAAGTTGTAGATAATTATCCGTATATATTGTTAGTGTAATCATAACTTGTAAATTTTAAATAGTATAAATTGTAATTAAATGTAGTTAATTGCGATTAAAAAACTGTAATTAAAATATGAAACAATAGCTGAAAAATTGGCAAATTAGTTATTACTATTGACAATTTGAAACAGGCATGGTATTTTTATACCAGATATTAAAAAATTTCAACCCTTAATTTGGTGCATGCCTTTTCAGATTAGTGCATGATTGTTTGGGTAATAGTAATTTATCGATTATCTATTTATTTTATTTCTCCCTTCAAAGAACAGCTGTTAAGGAAATAAAAGCAAAAAATTAAATTTGCGATATTTTATAAATACGTATAATTAAATTTAATGACAATAATAAAGCATTTATAAAGAATTCCTTTACAAAATAAGCATTTATAATTCTACAATTTTAAGAAAGTTTTAAATTTTATACCACCTAACTTGATATAAATTCACAATTAAAAAAAAAATCATTCATTGAAATTTAAATTTGTTCTGTTAGAACAAATTTAGAATTCATTGAAATTAAAATAGTTCAATCGCGTCTTTAAATTGATTCGAATCATTGCAGAGCAATGCCGTTTACACGGCATAATACAAAAATTTGGACGAAATCGGCTGAATAGTTTCTGAGAGATCGAATTTTAAATATTCGACTTCTTTAAAAGTCGATTTCTCAGGAACTATTCAGCCGATTTAACCTAAATTTTGTATTTTGCTATGTAAAATTGTATACTTCAAAATGGCATAAAAAATTATATACCTCACAATTCAAAATTTTTTCGACCAGTATTAAATAAAATAATAAAAGAAATAAGTATTTTCTAAAATTTCTTTTCTTCATGGAAATATCTTCGAAAAAACAATTTTATGATTGTGTGCAAATATTTTTCGATTCTCTTAAAAAAAATCGATATAGCAAAATGGGCAAAATAAAATTAACATTAAGGGATCCAAACTTTTGATCGCTCTCCTGACCAAAATATGGGAATCATATCTCTCAGATTGAGGCTATCTCCTATATTTTGGGGGTCAGAAATTCAAATCCGTAGGAAAAAAAAATTTGAGTCTTACAACGTGAAGATCCAATCATTAGATCAAAAATTATTTAGAATGTTTCTTTTTCTTTTTTTTTTTTTTCAAAGGGAATAACATCAATGCTAATTTAATCAGAAGGAGCGTATTTTTGATGTACTTAATTTCTTAGAGGAAATAAAAGGGCATTAAAAAATTTCAAGTATTTGATAATTTCACATTTCTTAAATTAAATATTCGTTGTCGAAAAAGGCTTAAAAAAGTTAAAGGATAAATTCGAAAGAAAAAAATGTTTTTGAATAACAAACTGACTCACGTAAACATGAATAAATATTTCTTAATTATTTCCCTACATTTAACGTAACTTCGTCTCTTTAAAGTGAGTGAAGCAGTTACTACAATTCCAAAGTAATTTATAGTTGCTGCATTTAAAAAAAAAAGTAACTGTAGTTGTAATAGACTACAAAAATGATGTAGTTTTTCCGACCACTGCATAAATGTATGATTAATGTAGATAGACTACATAGAAGCGTTTGTAGTCTATTTACATTAATAATAAATGTATATATAGACTCATAGATTTAGAGGCATATAAAATAGCGGTAATTACAGAACTCCCAGAAAATTTCTTAACAGTATTTTCAGCAATAGTATATTCTTCACAATTTTTTCATCGAGGAAATTAAAAAAGCCACAGTTTAAGTGTCTTGCACTTCAAGCAAACCTACAATTTTAAACTTTATATATCATCTTGCATTATCTTGGCTTTAAAACGAGCAAATGGTTAAATTATTTTAGTTATTAGACTTTTTAAAAAAATCGCCGATTTTGCGAGATTTATCCTATAGCTCCAAATTATTTTGACCTGTCCTTTTTTGACTTATTACATCATTTTAAGAATTAGCCCAGTCTAATTCAGGGGCTCTAGCTCAGAGCAGGCTGGTTTAACTTGACTTATCAATCATGAATCCCTGTTGCAAGCTCACAGCAGTTGTGAAAATAGCATATTGTTCTCAAATGGGAAGGGGGGGGGAAGGTAATTTCATGCGACGACAAAGAGCCTCCGAAAAAGAACTTTTCTTCTGCAAATAATTGTTATTTCTTTGTCTATTCCAGGTTGTGATCGTGGCTTTGGTCTTCTATTGGCAAGAAGATTAGATAGTCTGGGCTTCAAAGTATTTGCAGGATGCCTCGATCCACTTGGTGCAGATGTTCAGAAACTGAAGAATACTGCGTCGAGTAGACTCTCCTTAGTGAAAATTGATGTCACTAGAGACGAAAGCGTATCATGCGCTCAGGAAGAAGTAAAAAATAATTTGGGAGATTGTGGTAAAATTATTTCAACTCATTTTATTTTATAATTTTTCAGCCATTGTATAATTTGGAACATGCAATCTTGGACAAAATTCGTGAAGTTACATCTCCAAATCTGGACAGAGCCGAGAATCGATTTCAAATCCAGCGCAGTTTTAACGACACCGTCTCTTGTTTGGCATTTTCATAAATTAAAAATAAATAGATTCTTGACTTTTTTTTTATCTTTTCAGTTCAGGAGTCTAATTAGAAATAAAAGTTAGCATTATAATTGCAACCAATTGAAAAGAAATTGAAACGAATGGTTAACGCTAGATTGCCCAAGGAAGTCATTTTGATTGCTTTTTAATTTCAATTAGAAAAACAATGATGAATATAATGACAAAATATCTTAGAATTTTGTGACTTTTTGTACAGCATATAATTTTTTTTTATTGTTAATATTTACTAATAACTTGTTATATAACTGTAAATAATAGAAGAAATATTAAAATTTAATTTTAAACAAATTAATAGCTTGTTATATAATTGTAAATAATATAAGAAATATTAAAATTTAATTTTAAACAAATGTCTTTACACATTAGTTGTTCTTTCACAATCCTGTCATTTTGACTTCTTTTGGGGCAATATAAGGTATATACTAAGTTTCAGTCTTTCTAGGCCGCTGGATTGTATATTAGCAGCCGCGAATAGGACACATTTAAGAATACTATAAAGAAGTTATGAAATAGGTTGAAACCGAGCATTTCGTTTCCTTTCCTAGTTATACATTCCCAAAAAATAAAATTGAATCACAGTGTGTGAGAAATAACTAAGGTGGAATGTCATCTTTTTTGAAGTGTAACTCCTTTAGATATAGGCCGTTGCCCGGTATTCTTTAAAGAGATGTTTTTTTTTTTTAAGGTTAAACAACATTGCCCGCTTGTTATATAGGGAACTGTCATATATCTCGGGAAGTACACATCGAATCAAAATCTAAAAATGCTCTTTTGAAATATTTTAAGGGAAATATTCTATTCCAAACTTCACTTGTGAAATATTATTTATCGAACAAGACCCCTCCCGCCAATCTTACCCTCTGCGTTGAAGCGAGGGCACCATCAAAATCTTAAATATTAAGCCCTGTTTTTTCTAATTTAAGATTTGGATTTTCCAAAAAATATTTACTCTTAATTGACATAAAAGTGGTTGAATTTTGGTTCACATGGGGTACTGTAATTGTATTTAGAAATTAATGTTTATTTGTATCTCTAAGAGTAAGATGTGGAATAAATTTCATTCATTTCCAACAGTTCCTTCATGGCGTTGCAGTTTTCTTAAACATTAGTGTATTTATTTCAAATTCGAACATTTAAAATAATGTCGTTTAAAAAGAGGCATCTTTATTAAGTTTTTGCTTTATTTATATACAGTCTCTGGACAAATTATTAGACGCACTGTAAGATTCTATGTAAAATCTTAATTATCAAGTGATACTATACAACTTTATTGTTTTCACGCGGCTGAAACCGGTTTGAATTAGTTTAACTTCGTGTATCAATTGGTTAATATTGCAATGCAATACGTTAACCCTTTCAGTCCCAAATATTTATTTTTCAATAAAAAAATCTGAAATTTGTNATGTTTGTAGATTAAAATACCGCCTATTTCAAATCAAATGGAGTTTTAGGTAAGCAGATAAAAAATCTTAAATATAATGATTCCAATTGGAATCACTGGGACTGAAAGGGTTAAAAATAAATACAAGTTGGAAGTAGTATATAAAAAATCTCCTGAATAAAAGCCCATTACATGTATGTTTAAATATAAAAAGTATTGCCTATAAACTCGTGCAAAACATATAATTATTAAGAAACTACAGTGTCTTTAATAATTTAGTCTAATTATTATAATATACTAATATAATAACTGGTATAATAAATATTCTATATCAGGGTGCGTAGCCAGATTTTTCAGCGAAAAATAAGCACCTTTTAAGTACTTTTTAAGCAGTCAAAAAATATTTTTAATCACTTTCTAAAAAAAAAAATCTTAATTTGGATCTGTACAGTAATAAAAATTATTTTTTCTATTGTTAAAATTTCTTAATTTATACACATAAAATCAGTAAAATTAAAAAACATTATTACCGTGATGAAATAACATGGTTGTTTCTGATAAATACTGCAGAGAAATTTGTGAAAATTTAGAACGACTATCGACATGGCAAAGAAAAAAAATCTCTTTTTAAAAGATAGAAAATTAAAGCACCTTTAATCACTTTTTGAAAACGCTACGCACCCTGTATATTTATATAATATATATCTTCTAATTTATCCAATCGTCGAATTTATATTATATGTAGTCTAATTTAACCCATTGATACACGAACGTAAGCAAGTGCAAACCGGTCTTAGTCTGGTAAAAACAATAAAGCTGTATAGAGTATCACCTGATAATTAAGATTTTATATAGAATCTTATAGTGAGTCTAACAATTTGGCCCGAGACTGTATAGCACCAAGTTCAAGGCCTTCATCATTTTCGGAAGACGTTTTTTGACACTGTTTTATCTTAAATTGAAAGAAATGAAAATAGAATTGTATTAAATATATAACTTGTACTGCGTAGAGATAAGTAATAGATAATGTGGTGAATGACATCCTGAAAACACTATAATTTGCCTCAAAGTAATCCTAATTACATGTAAAAGTAAATTATAATTAGAGTTGTAATCTTAGGTCATGGGTACATAAAATCGTTTGATCATGATTACTAGCAATCGCAGCTATAAATATAATCATAAGCTGTGATTACTAGAGAGTTGAGAATATGCAGTAACGGTCTTCGAATCTTCTCGATTACATACTAGATTGCTATATCTTTCGACTAATGGTGATCACCAATTTTGATAGATTTGATTGCTTTGTAAAGCTACGTGTCGCTAAAATATTCCCCTTCCGAGCTGTAAGGGCTCAGGCAATAAAGCGTTCGCCTTCCAATGAGGTGAAACGGCTTAGAATCCCAGCAATGGCTGGTCTCTCGAATTCCGCATCTGGCTTGCACAATATCCTCAGTGGTAGACGGATCATGGGTTAAAGACCCCTTGCCGTCAGGCTAACCGTACGAGGTATTCGTAGTTTTCCTCTCCATGTAACGCAAATGCGGGTTAGTTTCATCGAAAAGTCCTCCATGAAAGCAAATTTCTCCCAATACTTAATCCAGGAGTACCCTTGTCTTCTGGATTGGGTTCAAAATGACAAGGCTAGGCGTTCAACATTAGTAGCCGTAAACAAAATTAATTGGGTCAGCTGTTCAACGACGGTTAAAAAATGAAATATTCCCCTTCCTGAGAATAGAGTAAAGAAAGTGATAGTCAAAGACCACGTGCGTTTCACGTGGTCATGTCACTAGTGCAGTACCGTATCTTGGAGAGTTGTGGTGCGGCGGCCTTGTTTTGTCAACTTACATTTGATCTGTGGAATAATGCTTAGTTAGTTAATCTAGCGTTATCTACCTTGAAAGATCCAGAGTACTTGAGTTTATTACACAGTGAGACAGATGGTTACGATATATATATTTTATTTTATAACCGTCGTTGAACAGCCGGTCCTAATTTTTTGGGTTTACCACTACTAATGTTCAACTCCGTATCCTTGTAATTTTTAACCCAATCCGGAAGACGAGAGAACTCCTGGATCAAGTATTGGAAGAAATTTGTCTTCGTGAAGGACTTTTCGATGGAACTAACCCGCATTAGCTTTACATGAAGAGGGAAACCACGAAAACCTCCTACTGTTAGCCTAACGACAAGGGGACTCTAGCCCATGATCCGTCTACTACTGAGGATATTTTACGTCAGCTCTGTGGTCGATTGTAGCCGGATGCAGAATTCATATCGATCAGCCATCGCTAGGATTCGAAGCCGGTTCACCTCATTGGAAGGCGAGCGCTCTATCGCCTCAGCCTTCACGGCTCTGTCATCTATAAAGAAAGATGCGTTATAGTCCAAATACTTCTATTGATGCAAATATTGGTGATAGCGTAGAGAACAGAACCTTCGATTTTTTGCCATTCAGCATCACTCATCCGGGTCACCAATTGAGGTGAGGATATGTAGCGATGATGCAGGACCGAACTCTCGGTCTATTAGGCCGCACAGCAGCGCGGTATGTCTCCACAAATGGGGATGACACGGCCTCAATGGACTCAATTGCTTTACGAAACGTCTTTACATAAGTTAACAATACTAACAAGCAATTCCATTTTATTTAGTTTTGGTTAGTTTAGATTGCCTAAATTTGTTTGTTTAGAGTTGTGGGCATTGGTCAACAACGCTGGAGTCATCGAACGTGGAGAGTTGGAATGGACACCAATGGAGATCTACCAGAAGCAATTCGAAGTAAATACATTTGGTGTAGTCCGAGTAACACAAGCTTTTCTTCCATTACTCAGAAGATACAAAGGAAGAATTGTTACTGTCACAAGTGTTGGAGGTTACGTTACTTTCTTTCTATTTCTAATTAAATTCTGATTTGTTTTAAGGATAACATTAAAAAAATAAAACTTTCTTTTTTTTTAATAAAATGCTGGTTTTATCATATTTTTCTTTGTATCCCAGATACATTAATATGATTCTAATACTTTTTCAAATCAAATGTTAAACTAATTAAAATTTTCTAATAGAATATAGAATAGAATAAAAATATAGAATAGAAAATATATTCTATTAGAGAGAATAGAATAAAATGCTAGTTTTATTATATTTCTTTTTGTATCCCAGATACATTAATATGATTCTAATATCTTTTCAATTCAAATGTTAAACTAATTGAAATCTTCTAAGAGATAGAAATATAGAATGGAAAATATATTACAATCGAAAGAATAGAATAAAATGCTAGTTTTATTATATTCCTTTTTGTATTCTAGATACAATAATATGATTCTAATATTTTTTTCAAATCAAATGCTAAACGAATTAAAATTTTCTAATAGAAAGAAATATAGAATCGAAAATATATTCTAATAGAAAGAATGGAATAAAATGCTAGTTTTATTGTATTTCTTTTTGTATCCCAGATACATTAATATGATTTTAATATTTTTTCAAATCAAATGTTAAACTAATTAAAATTTTCTAATAGAATATAGAATAGAATAGAAAATATATTCTATTAGAGAGAATAGAATAAAATGCTAGTTTTATTATATTTCCTTTTGTATCCCAGATACATTAATATGATTCTAATATCTTTTCAATTCAAATGTTAAACTAATTGAAATCTTCTAAGAGATAGAAATATAGAATGGAAAATATATTACAATCGAAAGAATAGAATAAAATGCTAGTTTTATTATATTCCTTTTTGTATACAATAATATGATTCTAATATTTTTTTCAAATCAAATGCTAAACGAATTAAAATTTTCTAATAGAAAGAAATATAGAATCGAAAATATATTCTAATAGAAAGAATGGAATAAAATGCTAGTTTTATTGTATTTCTTTTTGTATCCCAGATACATTAATATGATTTTAATATTTTTTCAAATCAAATGTTAAACTAATTAAAATTTTCTAATAGAAAGAAATATAGAATAGAAAATATGTTCTAATAGAAAGAATGCTTGTTTTTTAAAATTTCTTTGTGTATCTCAGATACAATAATATGATTCTAATATTTCTACAAATCGAAGTGTAAACTAATTAAAATTTTCTAATAGAAAAAATATAGAATAGAAAATATGTTCTAGTAGAAAGAATGCTAGTTTTTTTTTAAATTTCTTTTTGTATCCCAGATACAATAATATGATTCTAATATTTTTTCAAATCAAATGTTAAACTAATTAAAATTTTCTTGATCCTCTGAGCATAAAATTTTTTGACTGTCATCAAAAATTTCACCAAATTGAATTTTTTTTTTCCAAATTATAAAACTCTTTTTTGCAAATATAATTTCGCTCGCAAAAAAAATAATTTATTTTTACAATTATTTAATATTTTTAATTATTCAATTTGATAAATTATGCATTGATAAATTTTTACATCATTCTTACCATACAGTTTAAAAGACAAATTGAACATTTTTGCAAAATCGGTCTAATAAATTCTGACTAGGAAATGCTACAAAATTAAAATCATACGATATAGGTATTAGATGAATTGTCGATCAGGTATCGAAAATCCATATCTTAAAGATTAGCTGCTAAATTATAACGGTGAAGTCTTAAAATTATAAATTAATGCTGCTAAATTATACATTTGTACAAATTTACAATAATTGATAAGCAATCCAAGTTTTCATTGTGTGAATTTGTTGGAGAGTGATTCTGTATTCGAATCTAGATTTAAAAATACATTTTGCGTTACATAATGCATTTTCTGTTATCCGTATTTACAAGTTAAACGAATTAGCGAATGGCTATAATTTTTTGTTTTGTTTCATAATAAAAAGTAGTTTTTACATTTTTAAATTTAATCGTATATTCTGACCATTCATAAGTTGAAGAAACTAGCAACACGATGTTTATTTAATTATTTTTTATGTTGAGAAGTTTTGTCGGTGGAATTCTTTGGTTTTTAAAACTCTTAATTTTTAAACAATTTTTTTTATTTTATTATTAGACTTAAAAATAATAATGTCATAACTCAGATAAATATTTTCAATGTTGTGAGGATATTGTAATACGAGAGTTCTATTATTTTTAGTTTTCAAAAATAAAAAAATCGCAAAGTTTTGATAACTGTTTGATTTTAATAACCATTAGCCGATTTTCAATACTATTTACTCCGGCCCCAATGCACTTGAACAGCTGACTTTTTTTGGGGGGGGGGAGGGGAATGGTTTATCTATAAGCTCTTCTAACACCTGCAAAAATTTCATTGAATTCTATGAGTGTAACTTGAGAATGTTTCCGTGTGAGTAATAAGATTTTCACGAAAAAGAAAAGTCGTATTTTCATTTCATCGTTTTCGTTCAAATTTTGGGTTTCTTAGTTTGAAATTTGAAATTTCATAAAAATTTGTTCATTTTATTAATAAGATTTTTAAGATTATTATTTGATTAAAATTAATAAAATTTAAGTAATTTTAAAATTTTATTTTTGCGTGGAATTATCTTTCAGTAGTTTAAATGTATATAAATTGTTAATAACAATGTAAATAAATTTTCATTAAAAATAACCAGTGAGCCAGATAAGTCACATGTTCTCCCAAATTTGTTATCTTTTTACCTACAAAATTTAGAAATATTGTACAAAAATTATTAAAAAAAATTAAAATTAAATTTACGTTTTAGTGTGTAGTTGCAGGAACTATTTTAGTTTCGGAAATTTATCTCGGCTGAAAAAAAAAATAAATAAAAAATGAGCATTATGTCTATATTTAAATTACAATCGATTTGTTGCAATTGCAATTGTCTCCCACAAAAAATGAAGTTCAAACAATACTTCATTTTTTGCAAGATCATCCAAATTATCTAAAATGTAATTCCTAGTATTTTATAAAACAATAAAATAAAATGACAAATCAAATTTTGAAACATCAACTACTATTAAATTTTATCATTCAAAGCTGCTGCCAGCTAAAATCAAATCTGCATTTTCTCTAAGAAACAATGATACTATAAATTTGTAACAATGATAACAATGATAATATTGATACAATAATAATAATAACACTGTAACAATGACAATGATAATATTGATACAATAATAATAATAATGACATTGTAACAATAATAACAATGATAATATTGATACAATAATAATAATAACATTGTAACAATAACAACAAGAGTAGTATTGTGGCAATAATAATATTGTATCAATAATGATATTGTATCAATAATAACAGTAATAATATTGTAACAATAATAATGTAAGTTTCTTCTAAAATGATCACTTTTGACAATTAGGATTGCAAATTACGTCTAAGAGAAAAAACGAAAATATTATCGAATCACTATTGAGGAAATTGCTGCTGAAAGCATCGAAAATCTGGTTGATTGACGGGGAAAAAACTTGTATAGTGATTATTAGAAACACATCCAATTTTTAGCAAACAAACAAATTGATTTTTATACTTTCCATTCTAGTTTTATTATTTATATATTAGTTCCTCGCTAATGATTCGGCAGATTTCGATAGCATTCTTTAATTTTTCTCTCACTTAAATCATTATTTGCAACCCTATAGCATGCATATGCATTTTTTTAAACTTTATTATTAAGAAACATCTTAGCAAAAAAAAAAAAAACTTCTCTTAAAAAAAGAAGGAAAGAAATTTATTTTAGACAGTTACATCTGGTTATAAATTAAGGCTCACATTTCGACGCAGCTCAGATTATAATTTGAATACAATTGTAATTGTTAATTATTTTCACACTTCGATATTGTAAAATGTTTTTAAAATTAATACTTTTTGTGTACCTTTTTGCAGGGCGTTTCACTTTTTCTGGGTTTGTTCCCTACTGCATGAGTAAACATGCCACAAGTTCCTTTTGTGAGGGTTTACGAATGGAAATGGCTAAATTTGGAGTCAAAGTTATAACTATAGAACCATTTTCCTACCAGTAAGTATCACAAAAGGTAACGCATCAAAATCATTCCAAAATGGATGCTGAATTAGTTGCAAAATCCATCAAAATTTACTACATTTGTTTACAATTTCGTTTGCAATATGATTTGATCATTTTAATACCTACTTTTATCCTTCCAACTGGAACCAAGATAGCCTGATTGGCTGGGTGCTGAACTCACGTCCGGGAAAACGGGAGTTCAATTCCAGCCGGTCGAAGACTCCCTTAGTAGTAAATGGTGACTGGTGCACGTCAAATCTGTTGGGTCGCAAAGTCCTCCATGTTCCCATAGCAAATCATTATCTCATGGGGTACTGATATAGGAGTTTCCTTGTCTTCTCGATTGGTTCAAAGTTGCGGAGTTGAACATTAGTAGTCGTAAACCCAAGATTGGGTCGGCTATTCAACGTCGGATATGGAGAAAAAAAATCTGTCAGGTCACAAAGTCCTCCATATCCCCTTAACAAATTATACTTCTTTGGGTACTAAATTGGAGATTGGTCGTTCTCTGGTTCAGGTCAAAATTACGATCTGCGTATGCTAGAATGGATGTATGATACAGGTTAGAATGATGAAAGTCTAGAATGGATGTATGAATGGTTCCGCTCTGTAAACGAGTTGTGACGTATGCGTGTGGCCGAAGTCGAATTCTCGGCCATAGATGGCGCCACTGGGAAACAAAAAAACCCGCACCCCTTGCCTTAATGGCCTAATAATAATGTCCAACTTCAATAATGTTTAATCAGAATTTGGAGACGCCCATTAGTTTTTTTTCTTCTTCATTTAAATATTTAGTTATGACGTGCTTTATTTTTTCCCTTGATTTTTAATCAGTCAATAAAGTCAGGGAGTTTTAGGGGAAAATGGAGATATCTTTAAGAAAGATCTCATTTTAGTTTTATTTAATCATACACAATTCTAATTTGCCTAGTCTTTTTGATTTTATAGATGATCTTAGTGAGCTAGGAACTAAGTGACAGTTTTAAACGCTTTTGGAGTGGAATATTTAAACTGCATTTAGCAACAATTCAATATGATCCCGAAAATCTTAGAAAATTTGTCTTTTTGCAAGAAAATAAAATACCAAGAGTGAAAATGCTATGACGGAAACTGTTATGGATTTATTTATCTTTCTAACCATAAAAAAATCTAATGATGGTGCCGCAGTTTTCCATTGTTGTCTGCGCATTTTTATTGGCCGGAAAATCACGGAGTAGGATCCAGTTTTTCCTCATTTATTTTCCATATTGTTTTGATCGTTTTCAGCATAAAATTAATAAAAGTCATGACAATATTGTTTTTCTTTAAATATTTTTGTATTCCTAATTTAAAGTTATTTATGCTATCATTATGTTTTTAATTTTAGAGCTTAAAACTAGGAGAATTGTCGTTTTTTCATTATTATGTTATTCTGCCCTGCATTTTAAGATAAAGTTATTTAGAAAGGTTGTCTAATCTTATTAATCGTTTTACAATTATTATTTTAGTGCAAATAACATCAATATACTGTTATAAATTACAGTTAAAGAGATCTGTTGAATGAACGATCTGCTTCATGCACACTGTGATGCAATTAAAAATAGTATTTAATATATTCACCGGTTTGGTTAGCGAAATAACGGTTGTGAACTCGTCAAATTTATTTGAACAATATAATGGTATAACAATATAAATGTTATTTTAAAAAATGATTGCTTAAAAATGTTATTTTAAAAAATGATTGCTTAAAAATTACTTCAGTTCTCCAATAGATCTAAATATTTGTAATACTGAGAGATAATAATATTTGGACATGGGAAGTGGAGGCACAAGCGTAAGCAAACAGAGTTCCTTTTAGTATAGATATATATTAAGTGAATAATTTTAGCTTTAGTAGAAGAACTGTTTTCGACCAAGAAACAACAATTATTGCGAGGCAATCAACGGGGTTGGTGAGCGGCAGCGAACAGGGAGCTTAGTCCCCTAGTAGGTTTATATAAAGGGAAGACTGAGGATAAGATATATATTCTAAACATAATATTTTTTCACGTATAGTCAACGCATAAACTTAAAAAGCAATATTTCAATTTACTAAAATGCTATTTAGAGCTTTCCTCAATTTAGCTCTTTAATGATATACTTATTACATCTAATTTCATTATTCTGCACGCTATTATGGGGGATATTTCCATATAGTGATTTGTCGAGCCATCTATAATTGCCTAGGTGCCAAATAGATTTTAAACTAGTTAATTTAAAAAAAAATGTAGATGTTTGCCCTAGGGTGGCTACGAGTCATACACTTCGAGTTGGTCCTTTTCTTTTTAAAGTTTCTCGCAGGCCGCTGCCTGGAAGTCTGCCACAGATCACTATACGGAAAACTTCCCCTTTTATGCTGTGTTGTGATAACATCTTGAATATTTTTTTAGAACGGGTATGACAGATGCATCCAATGTTTCCCGAAGTATTAAACAAACATGGTCGATGTCTTCAAGCAAGTACGCAGGCGATGTCTACGATGATGATTACATCGACGAATTCAGCGATAGCGTTCGTAAATTCAACGAAGCTACAGTACTACCAGATCCAGGCAAAGTTGTGGATCAGATGGTTGAAGGAGTATGTGCCATCAGTCCTCATTACTCTTACGTTGTTGGATGCTGGGAGTTCTTGTTCAATCTTTGGATGTCAAGAAGATTGCCAAAGACTTTCGTCGATTTTTTCACGAGGAAGAGGGTTACATTCGATTGTGACTTGGAACAATATCTGATATCATCCCTCAAAGACAAAAAGAACTCGTGATATTTCTATAAAGACACTGCCTCTAGTGATTTCGAGACTTTACTGGAAAGATTGTTGATGGACTGTTTCAATCCGATGAAAGGGAATTTTTGTTTATCCCGTTGTCTCCCAGAAAGCATGTGACCTTACGGCAACCTTGTGTCGGAATTTTCTTTTTATTGTCATGAAAATGTTTGTATTAAAAACCTTTTTTCAATAAAGCAAAAATATTGCAGTTTCGAACCTTTCATCTTAAAAGGATTAAAATTTAGTTCTAAAGCTTTTTTTAAAAAGTATTGTCACTTGGGTAAAATGGTCACTTAGGTCCATAATGACGTTGTACTGACGTCACACTATAGCAGTGCTTCTCAAAGTGTGGTATGTGTACTCCCAGGGGTACGGGAACAATTTAGCGGGGGTTTGCTACCTTATGCGAAATATCTTGCAACAAACGAAAATTTCTAAAACCTTTATTTAAAAACAAAGCTAGGCATGAAAATTTACGTATTCTTCTATTGGCTATTTTTTGCAGAGTAACAGTTAATAATTAGTGGTGTCAACCGCCAGTTGTGATTTTCAACTTTTGTGTAATTTTTTTATAGTTAAAAATACATTCATTTTTTTAAGAGTGGTACACAGCGTTACGAAAAATTTAGAAATGGTACGCAAGAGTCTTAAGTTTGGGAAACACTGCACTATAGCGATAGGATCAAATTGCATTGTCAATTAAAATTTCATGACAAGGTGGATTTTAGCTGAGCATACAAGACGTTGCAAAAAGAAACCTTATATTTACCAAGATTTAAGATTATTTTCACCTTAAGACTAGCCTTATTCAAGCATTTTTTCATACTTGAAAACCTTAAGACGGCCTCATTTTTCAGGTTTTTATATAGAAGGTTGTTTTCCAAGGTTTTGGATTAGGGTAATGTGTGTAGAATAGAGCAAATTGTCACAGATCTCGTTTTAAGATTTGAAGGTTTACACGTAAACCGCATAAAAACCATTTTAGGTTTACATCAAAAGGTTTTTGCTGTGTGAAAATAAACCTTATTTTGCTATCTGGGTCTGATGTTGCGGTTCTTTTTATTTCACTACTAGCTGAATACAGTATAGATGTTTCGATAAATCGTTTGTTCAATAAATCAAATCTGTATTGATCAACGTCACAAAATCGTGTTAAAGACTGAAAGACACTACTGTACTGATGCTATTAATTGAGCTAAAACATATCCAATTTTATTTTGCCTTTGCCGGTGTTTTTACGTTATTAGATTAAGCAGAACATGCTTTTAGAAATGCATCCATTATTAATGTAATTAACTCTATTTATCATAAAATTAACTCTAATTAGTATCGTTTGGCATAATGCTATGTATTATTCGAGTTCAACCATAGTCGATAGTCAAAAATTACCAAAATTAACAATTTTCTCAGGTACTTATTTCTTTCGTTTAGCCGTAAGAAACCTATTTCCGCAGTATCTAAAGATAGTATCTTCGGACCAATACCAGTATATTAGTACAGATTAAAAAGCACCAAGTGATATGATAAAAGTTATTACCAAAATTAAGTATCAATAACTTCATGGTTCGTAGCGTTCTTAAAACGTGCTTATTTTCGTTTTTTAAAAGCCCTTAAAGGTGCTTTTTTCCATGGATGTTTTTAAAAAGTGTTTAATTTTCCCTTTTCGAAAAGGGAATGTCGATTTTCGTCATGCATTATGTAAAAGCGTGTTTTTCACGACATCGTTCTATTCAACGTTTTCACAATTCATTCAATCACAATCTATTTCGGTGTGCCGTCGGTATTTAGCGCATGAAAGAGCCCATCATTTTACATGTTTGATGAAATACTTGCGAGTTCGCATGTGAGTCTACAAAGCTGGGTTTCGTGAGATTATTGCACTCTCATCTGCAACTCTACTGCATTTTGCAAGGTATTCTCAATTTCAGGCTTCATCTTCCAACCTCTGATATTAAACCAAAAAATCTCTTGATCGTTTTATAACGGCTAATATAATCAAGAAAAGAGTTGTTTGTCAGAAACTAGTTATTTTATCATGATCATGTAAAGTCTTGGAAAATTATTTTCGCTGATGTATATAGTACTTAAAAATATTTTTGAGTGCTTAAAAGGTGCTTATTTTTTGTTGAAAGATTTGGCTACGCACCGTGCTACACAAAAGCAGTTATTCTCGGATCTCATGAATTAGCACTATTTTGTCACTTAATAAAAAAAAATTTAATTCAATTTTTTTTTCTGTTTCAATTTGTACCTTTAGCCAAAATTAATTAATTGGAATTCTTAAAAAAATTAGTAACGACACTAATATTTTCATAATTATTTTTGGTGAACAAACTAATATCGACACTTATTTCGAAGACCGTAAAAAATCTCCTAACTTTTATGGACACCTGTGATGCTTAAAATAAATGCTGTATTAAATACCACTGGTATGGCCGTTATAGGGGCTGTGGTAATTAGTGTCTATTATACCACAGACGCTTAACATAGGCACTGTGGTATAGTACTGTTCTAAGTTGTGCTTAGTACTGTACTAAGTTCTTTATTTTCTTATAACCGTTGTTGAACGGTCAACCCACTTTTGGGTTTACGACTACTAATGTTCAACTCCGTAGCCTTGTAATTTCGAATCCAATCCAGAAGACAAGGGAACTGCAGGATCAAGTATTGGGAGAAATTTGACCTTCGTGGAGGACTTTTTGATGGAACTAACCCGCCTTTGTGTTACATGGAGAGGAAAACCTCCCACGGTTAGTCCGACAGCAAGGGGACTCTAACCCGTGATCCGTCTGCTACTGAGCATATTTTACGTTAGCACCGTGGTCGGTGGAAACCGGATGCGGAATTCGCATCGATCAACCACTGCTGCGATTCAAACCCGGATTTTGTCCTGTTGAAAACTCTCTCTTTGGAATGAAATGCGTGAACCGGTATTTGTCTATGCGGAAATGTCTATCTTGCAATTCAAAAATGTTTCGATTACTATTAAATAAATATTAGCAAATAATTATCAAAAATTATTTTTTGCCCTAAATTATCCTTGGATAAACGAATTTTATAATTGAGTGGGAAAATGTTTTAAATTACTTAAAACTAGGAGGCTTCACCCCCTGCTCGCTGGTGCTCGCCAACCCGATTTCGGATTGCTTCGCAATCCAATGCTCGCTTTGCTCGCTCATTGGATACGTTCNATAGCTATTTAAGACGATAGGCGTAACTTCCCGAACTTAAGACCGTCGCATACGTCGAGTGGCGTGTCTTAAGACTGTTTCAGTTGAATCCCAGCCTTAGATAGATAGATTCTCGTGATATAGCGATATACACAAAAAAGTAAAATTAACATTAAGCGGTCAAAACTTTGTACCGCTCTCCTGACCAATCTATTGAGTCCATATTTCCCAGATGTTTTCAGGGTAAAGAATCCAAATGCGTCAAAAAAATAGTGATACCCGGTTTCTTAACCGATAATAATTGGTTAAACTAATTAGCATATTTGTGGTCTCTCCCGTGAACCATTAAGCTTGATTCTTAGTAACGTAAAAATTCGATCATTAGGGATCAAAAATTACTTAAGGTTTTTTTTCTTCTTTTTTTTTTGAGCACAGCACATCAGTTTTAAAATTTAATGTTCTTAAAATCATCATAATGTTAATATAATGCATAAGTAATGCTCATCATCTTAAAATTTAATGTTTTTGATATTTAAAAACCTAAAAAGTTTAGATTCTGAAATTATTTCAGACTTTCCATATATAAGGAGTAGCACTAGAAAAGATCAGATTGGAGGAAGGCTTTGGCCCACAAAGAGCTCCAAGGATTTGTTTTTTTCTTTTTTTTCCTTCAATAATTGAGTCATATTTTTTGTATAATGAAATTGAACATTAATTACTACTCCTTCTTCCCAAACAGCTTGTTTGACCATTTAAGATAATTTATTTTGTCCAATATTAATTTGTTTTTCAATAATGAGTTTTTACAAAATATTATTAAAAAAAAAGCTTTTTTCACATGTTTGATGACATAGGGGATTTTATCTTACCTTTGTATTAAGGGAACAGAATAGTTATTGTTAATTTTGACTACAGGAAAGAAATTAAGTTTCTACAAATTTTTTTCACTCCTCTACTGAATTAGAGATTGATCGTTCTCCGGTTCAGGTTAGAATTTACGATGCGTGTATGAATTAATAGGTTCACCCTATAAACGGGCTATGACGTGTGTGTGGCTGAAGTCGCATTCTCGGCCATACCTCGCACCACTGAAATGCAAGAAACGCAATCTCTGCCTTAAATTCGCTTGGTTTCACCAAGCAGGCTTGCCGATATTTGCAAGTGGCATTAGAAACAACAATTCCAATAAAAACCTATGAAACGGTCAAAGACATTTCGAAAAACTTAAAATTTGCAAAGCTACTAATTTTACAAATAAGTTACTTTCTGTAAAAAATTTTTTACGTATTGTCTATCATGTACGTCCCCCCCCCCAAGTATTTTGAAACTTTCATTACGTGTGATTTAGAAGTAATGTTTCTTTACTTTTAAATATTACTGTTTTTATTTAAAGAACAAAAATAAAAATTTAGAATCAGTATGATTTTGTTCAAAATTTATGTATACAAAAATTATGACTTTATTAATTTGCGTAAATGTCAGCAAAATTGTCCTTCGAAATGTTTTAATGTTTAAATATTTATGAGAAATTAATTTACATTAATTATTAATAACTATTTTTTCTGAACTCTGTCACCGAAATTAATGTTTAATTTGTGACATTTTAAACATATTCTTTATTGTTTGAAAAACATTTGAAATTTTGTTTAAATGCAAAAGATTGTTGTATTTAAAGCTTATTCTTGTCTAGTGTTGATTTAGATATATCCTGAGTGCTTAAATTGCTGGGAAGTTCCAGAAGTTTAAATAATTTTAGAATACTTATACATTACTGTGATGACAAAGCCTATGTCATCACAGAAATGTATTTGTCAACACAGAAAATTATCACTTTCAACATGGATTAACATATTGGAATAAATAAGATTCCGAAAAATAAGTATTTATTTATGTCTATTCTTTGATTTGCCTTTTATTCTTTTTGCTTCTTTACCTTCATACTTTAACAGGTTCGTACCTCTGTCGACATTCCGCATGCAATATTTTTAATCTCTTCCGTTGTACCTTCTACTTCGATTCTCTCCCCGTTCCAGGTATTACGACGGTATAACACAATTATTTTCCAATCCTCTCTCCTTGAGCCGTGATGACTCGGGGGATAGAGCGTTCACCTTCCAATGAGGTGAACCGGGTTCGAATCCCAACGATGCCTGGTCGATTCCGCACTGACCACAGTGTTGATGTAAAATATCCTCAGTGATGGATAGATCATGGGTTAGAGTCCCCTTTCTATTAGGCAAAACATGGGAGGTTCCTCTCCCCATGTAACGCAAATACGGGATAATCAAAAAGTCCTCCACGAAGACAAATTTCTCCCAATACTTGATCCAGCAGGAGTTTCCTTGTCTTCTGGATTGGGTTCAAACTTACAAGGCTACGGAGTCGAACATTATTAGTCCCTGAAATTATATTGGCTGATCAACTATTGTTATTATATAAAATAAAATCCTTTCTTTTCCCCCTTCTTTCTTCTCTCATCGGGATTTCATTACACGGAAACCCGCAAGTGCGTTTTATTTATCATCAATGCCGCTTCTAGCTTGCAAACAATATTTTAATATATACTTTTTAGAGATGGCAATGTTTGTTGCTAAGCAACTAAGTTTAGCTTTCTGTTTTGAATGCATTTGGGTACGAATGTGCAGATTACCTTTCATTTGAGAAATATACTATCATTGCTATGCAATGATTTGATTGTATTCAAGATTCAAATAAAGTTAGTCAGTATTAATGACATGTTGTGATCGTCGAAAGTCTAATTCATATGAATTACGAAGTTCTTTGAGTGGCATAGTTCGCTTAAACATGCCTAACATCTTGCGTGCTAAGTGTATTGTGGTTGGTAAGAAAATAATAATAGAGCTTTTATCACTTTAAAAATGTTTTGCTTTGTAGAATTTTATTAAGATCCAAGTCTTATTTTTTTTTTAAAAAATTTACCAGATCTGCAATTTAATAAGACACGACGTTAAAGATAATGTTTTTTGAAACTTTTAAAAACAGGATGGTGTTTATTTTTAATGATAGCTTGTAAAAATACAAAATCTGAGTTAAAATAAGTGTAATATCCAAGGATGTACAATTATTATGTTCATTATAACTTGTGCTAATCATTAAATCCATTTTGAATGAAGGTTGGTTTTTATATTTACACAAAATATATTTTTGTTCTAAAATTTTTACTGTAGTTTATTGTGTTATATAGAGCATTATACTAGTACATCTTGATTGCATCTATTTTTGAAATTAGCTCCTTAAAGATTTATTTATGATATTTTAAATAAATTTTATTTTTATGTAAAAATTAGTTAAACAAAACATAACATTAAACAAAAGTAGTCTATAAACTATGTAACCACATTATTTACCTCACTAAATACTGGAATTTTTTCATTTAGAACACATATATTTTTTTGTTGTTGATGAAAAACAAAAAAATCTTTACTTCTTTATTAATATTAGAAGTAGTCTTGTTGTATGCCAAATCAAATGCTGAAAAATGTACTTCAAGAAATAAAGAACATTATTGAAATAAAAAATTTAAAGAGACCGTAGTAAAATGTTTGTAATTAGTGAAAAGCATGGAAAACTTTTATAAAATGATGTTTTGATTTTTAGAAAAGTTTTATAGATACTTTAGTTTTTTCACAAGAAGTGCATGATTATGATATACTTGTTATCATAGAAAAAATCTTGCTTTATTTTTAAGTTTTAAAATAGTCACAAAAGAGTTTTTTTTTAAACAAAAACATTTAAATTGAATGTTTTTTTAAATAAACTTATTTATTAATAATCTTAAAAGTTCCATAAAAATCTAAGAAGGTCAACTTGAGTTTGCCGCAAAGGATTTGAAAAAACCCGGGTATTTCAGAAAAAACCCAACCCGCCTGGATTTTATTGAAAAAACTCGGGGAAAATTGGGTTTTATTTGAAAAAACCCAGGAAAAATTGGGTTTTTTATTTTATTGCTCATAAACTTTAAGTTTTACTGTGTGCCTATTTTTATTTATTAAAAAGTGTTGTATAAGCTTAAAAATAGAAATAAATCCAAAAAGTTATTTTAATTTTGTTATATGTATTTTATATTAAGTTTAAATAATGCATTGCCACTAATACATATTTGAATCTTCTTAAGTACATAACGTTTCACAATTTTTAACTCAAGCATTATAAAATATAAATGCAGTAATATAAGAGGAACAAGTTTATTAATCTTTTTGTTTTCACACACTTTTATTTACTATATTTATTAAACTTATATTACCCACTATGAAATTATAATCATTAAATATTTATAATCAGTAAAAACTAAAATCTCATCTGACTTTTGACTTTAATAAAAAACTGAAATAAATATATAATGGTCTTCCATGCTTTTATAATAAGATTGAAAGAAAGTGAAATTGAAATTATATATAATTATAAAGAGTATCAGTTACTTCTTGTCCCATTTTTTTTAAAATAATTTACCGTAGAAAAATGATTTCATTTTTAGATAAATAATTTTGAAAAGTTCTCTTATAGAAAGTTTCAGCTTATTTTTTTAAAGCCAGAAAATAAAACTGTTTAAATGTGTTAATTTATCACTTAGTAAAAAAAAAAAAAAAATTTTTTTTCCAATTTTTTTAAACATATGAATTGATAATAATATTAATATATAAAGCATGCAACTATATTTGAAAAATTGATCTTTTCAAACTACATTATTTAAATTTCTATTTGATTTAATTACATTAAAATATTACTTTTTGAAAAAACCCACTTAAAGTTTTTAATAGTAAAAAATTATAGATTCTTTTACTTTACAAATATTAAAAACTTAACAGACTGCACAATAAATTATATAAAATTAAACGGGCATCAGTAAGTTTTAATAAATTTTTTGTTGTTGAAATAACCCACTTATCGTTTCAAGTGGGTATTTTCAAGGTGGGCCCACTTAGCGAACCCTGGTCTTTTTGTACTACCACTTAAGCTTTCCCAAAAATATTTTTTAAAAAAAACAGATATGTATTCTTAAATTACTTCTTTCTTGTGTAATTAAAATGGGTGTTTAATTGTCATGTCATTAAAATGTTGTTCTGAGACTTTTTTTTAAAAATTTTCCAACATCTAAATTATTTTTATGCTATCTAAAAAATTTCAAAAGCTGTACACATATATATTCAGTTGTATTTAGAATTTTCTTTTCTTGTTTCTTAAAAGCCCTATGACAATGATTCTAAAGTCTTTAAAATTTTTTAACGTACATATTACTAGGTGATCCAGCTGCGGGAAAATCTGCAGTACTTCACACATTTTTACATGACACTGATAAATTTCAGAAGAACTATGTAATGGTGGGTATTACTTACCACTTTTATGTATTCTACTTAACAGTTTTGATGTATTCTATTGTGTAACCTTTTTTCCCCCTTCTAGACGTGTGGAATTGACATAAAAACTAAAAGAATAGCCATTCCCGATACAGATGATGCAGTTGTAAGTAGTTTATTTCCAATTTATAATATACACTTATAAATAAATAGTTGTATGTTCTTCATATAGGTATATTAAGATTTATTATCTGGAACGGTTGCTTTTACTGTAGAATCCATCACGACAGTTTTTTTATATGTTGTAAGTTTGCATATATTGTATTTAATATATTACAATAGTTTCATTAATTTAAAGTCATAATAAAAAATATCCTCGTGGCAGAATCGTGGCGACATTGTCGCATTGTCTCCTTACCGTCAAGCTAACCGTGAAAGGTTTTCCTCTCCATGTAACTGAGATGTGTGTTAGTTCCATCAAAAAAGTTTTCCACAAAGGCAAATTTCTTCCAATACTTGATCCAGGAGTTCCGTTGTCTTCTGGATTGGGTTCAAAATTACAAGGCTTCTAGATAAGTACTCATAAACCCAAAATTGGGTCGGCTGTTCAACGACGGTTATAAAATGAAATAGTTAAAGTAATTATAAATGACGGTTTAAAAAAATCTTCATTAGATTAAGATTTATGTACATATTCTTTACTTCTTTAAATGTAAGTGCTTATATTATTTCCAATTTTGACTTACATGATTACGCATGGTGTATCAAAATTTTACTCGTAGCCTGAAAAATGCCACTAGTAAAATCTCCGTTATTTTATTTTTCCAGTATTGGCAGGTATGCATATTGAAACATTTTACAATATTATCAATTTCTTCTTTAAAATTCTACTTCATTGCTTTGTAAAGGTTTAAAAATAAAATATTTTTGGTTTATTGATTTTGCTTTATGTAAAGAAAGACAAATCTCGAGCTGCTTACCTACTCGACTTCTGGTTAGGCAGTGTACGACTGCTTACTACAGTTTATTGTGCGAGGGGATATATTCAAACAGATAATTTTGTTTTCAATAAAAGGAATAAATAATATAATTATCTGAGCTCAAATCTGCTGCATTTTATAAGATATTAGTTATATTAAGTAATTCTGGTGAGTTTGAATCAAAGATTTGTTTGAGTTATTTATAGATACATTGCAGAGATGATTGTGCTCCGGAAAAAATCCGAATTTCCAGATTTTTCGCTAACCGTGATCCGGAAATTTTCGAAAATCCAAGGTCCAAAAGTTTCAAGAAATCATCAATCACATTTATGTATTATGTATTCTTGGAAATTTTATTTAGAAATATTAGAACTAGAATTAATACTTGGCATCTTTTTCATTTGTAAATATTTTGTCTGGTATAATAATAGTGATTAGACATAAAAGTAAACTTATGCATACTTATCAATCTAAATTATGCTGCAAATAATTTATTTAGAATTTCATATTTTGAAAATATCAATAGTTTAAATTTATAAAGATATAAACTTTTTGAAATGCGTCATTAATGATTTTACTCCCGAAATTTTCAGGATTTTTGAGTTGGGCTCACAATTACACCTGTACATGGTTGCTATATTTAGAAAGAACTCGTGTTTTTGATTTAGCGTCTTTTGACTTTTTTATTACTATTTGTTCTTTTTGTGCCCCATGCATACATTAGAATTAGTATTTCATTAGAGTAACGAGAAAAAGTTTGTTTTGTAAATTATAATTTAGTTTTAAGTTTCAAAGTTAGTATATTGTTGACAAGGTAATAGGTGTTTTGTAATGATTTTTTTTCTAACTTTAACTTTTAAGTTTTTACTATCTCTCAAACCACATGTTTACTATCTTATTCACCATTTCTGTTTATTATTACGATCTGTCTTCACTATTTTTTCTGTCTTTTTATTATTCACTGTCGACACATTGAAATAAATGGTCTCAAAATACACTGGATACAGTAGCACTGAATTATTAGTGGCAAAGAGTCTGCAGTGCTTTATGATGTAGGAAACAACATCCCTAATTGGCTAATAAATAAAAACTATTAATTTTTTAACTAATTTATTATTAAATATTTATATCAGGTAAACTCCCCTGCAGCACTCTCCTGTGGTGTGACTTATAATTTCCCCTGTGGCAGAATTTTTTTGGACTTTCTGAAACAATCTTCCCTAGCACTAATATTTTGCTTTAAGATACTTTTAATCATAACAATTATTTATTTCTACTACTAATAATTACTAGTTTTTGTTAATTTAGTAACAAAAACTTTGTGTTTACAGAAGAAAGTATAAAATATAAATGTATAAAAAATTTTAATTGTAAAAGTAATACTTTTGAATTCTAATATCATAGTCGATATTCTCGCATTTTGTAGGCGGAAAAATGCACTAATTATTTCCTCTTTCGAATTTTGTAAATCATTGCACAAAATAAAATTTGTAAATAAATGAAATGATAATAAATTAAAATATGTACATAAGTTAAAAACTGTAAATTCCGTGCAGTAACTCCCAAAATAAAGATCATGAATCACGTGAATAGGACTCTTTAAAAAAGAGATACTCAAATAAGTGTATGTCGAATATGGTGTTCTTTAAAGAAAAAGAAAAGGTAAAACATTTCTAGAGCAAACTATCTTTAAAACTTTTGCGATTTCTGAATTTTTTATTTTATATTATTAATTTGAAGTTCTAGCTTGCTACCGATTTTTTAAATTTTTTTTAAATGAGAATAGAAAAATCATGATTAGTATTTCTTTCCTCTCTGATACGCAAGAAAGACTTCGTTAAAAAAAATTCTACAGAAAGAAAATACATTTTTCGAAAAATTCTGCAGAAAGGAAAACCAAAAATTTTCCCTTCCCGAACGAAAAATCTTTCTACAAAAGCTCTGTAGCTTTCTGCGACAATATCGCCACAATTCTGCCACGGGGATAATATCTAAATCAGTAACTATTATTTTTATTCCAATTTTTTTTATTATAATGGTTTCAACTAAAAAAAATAATAATGAATTGCAATTGTGTCTAATTCTATTTTCCTCTACTCATTTGGTGACTTACAGTGTCTAGAAACTAACTTTTTTCATTTTTTTGATTTCCAACCTAAAAAAGCAGGTTTCTCCCTTGTTTTTCCATGAGAAAATGGTGTATGGAAGAAAAATTTCAATATAAACCCTCCTATGTCCAAAGTGCCTAGTTGGTTAAAATTTTTTATGTGTTTATATCAGAGTTTTCCCTAGGTATAAAAAAGGGCACTCATTCGACATTGTAAAAATTTATCAAAGTGTGTAACATTATGTAATAATTGAATTTGATTTTCAACTATTTTTAAATTACCCTCTTATACTATTTATGTGTAATTTCAAAAAATGATTCTCTCTCATTATCAGAATAAGAGAAAAATTTGTAGTTTATAAAAACAATTAAAGGCATGCTAATAGACAATCTCTGGGCATAAATTTTTTTCAAAAAAAGTAAACTAAAAAAATATGAATGGATAAACAACTGAAATTTTTTTATGTAATTTGAACTGAAAATTATGAGAAAATGAACATTAGATGTTGCATTTTTTTTAAAGAAAGTTATTTATTTAAAAAAAAAAAAAAAATTAAAACCATTAAGAAAATTTATTAATATCCCCCCCCCCTGAAAAAAGAGAGTTGAGAATAATCCTAACAAAGTTAATATTTGTTATAGTAATCAGAATTAAACGTATAATCACAGATAATTTTACCAGTGTGCAATTATTACTTAAACAGTGAATTATTTTTTTAAAATAGAATATGAATAAAAAGGCAGTGTTTTTTAAGAGATGGGCGTTTTTTTTTTTTTTACAGAGGGGATGAAGAGGGTGCATTTATAGGTATCAAAGGGCGTATTGCCTGACTAAAAACGTTTGGGGAGACCACTGTTTGTATATAAGGTAATTAAGAATACCTTATATTTAATAAACTAATTGAATTTTAAATCAATATGAATTCTGTATACAGGAAATAATATTATTGATATTTTTATTCTCATGCTTTTTAGGCTTTATATATTAAATTTTTCAATAAACTATTTAAAATATATTTGTAAAGATGATCATGGATACATATTATCTTAGCATTATTTTGTTCAAAACCAAAAGAAAGAGACAATTACATGGAAAACAATAATATGCTTTAGATGTTTTTTGTGTAAGAATTTATTTTCAGATCTCAGTTAATGTTTTTTAGAGAAATCTTAAGTTTTAGTTTCTCTTTTATATTGAAATAAATATTTAAAAAAGTTATGCCTGTTGTTTTCATATTTTATGGGTAAATCTAAAATTTTACATATTAATCTTTAGTTTAGTGCTGTTGTATATATTTCAATTCTTTAACCTACTGTATTTCTCTATTTCTTTTTGAAATCCCATAGTGATTTTATTTATAAAATCATAATGATAAAATGAAACTTATTTGACCCAAAAAGTATTTTAAAACTATATAAGAAATATTCAATCTATTTTAGGAGCTTCTAATGATTGATTCTTCTGGAAAAGATACATATTTAGACATCCAAACACAAATGGTAAGTTCTTAAACAATGTTACAACATTAAAATAAGTATAACTTGATAAATGATCTTGCTTTTGATTTTAATGTTTAATACAAATATTACAATGTATTAAAAATAAGCTTTTTTATTCACTTAATTTTGAAAAAAATTTATGACCGTTTTATATTTAAATAATAGAAAAACAAATTTCTATTATTTAAACGTAAAACAAAAGAAAATTTTTTTCCCTGATTATTTCAGGTGAAAAAAATTAGAAAACTTTTACTGTTTCTCTAGAAATATTTTTTATTATTATTTATAGTGTATCTACCACTACAAAAATACAATTCCAATTCACTAGTACATAAGACATCTTAACTCAATTCTATGATGGGGTACCTTTACTTAGAAGAAGGTTGACATTGTTGATAACTCTCCCCACATTGGTGACCTTGGGACATGATGTGAACATTCCTACCTTGATAGAAACTTCCACTTCGATTTGAACATACCTACTTTGATGGATGGTCCACATTGAAAAGTTGACTTGCTACTTGTGACTGCAACATTACCCACCTCCTCGCACTGTTGCTACTCAGTTTCGATCACACACAACATCAGCTCTCACGATCAGCGCTCAAAAGTACGGTGATCTTAATACATCTCTCCCAGTTTCTCACAAAACAGCAATGAATAAACTTGTAATATCCGTTCATCGAATTCTATCACAGATAAAATTCTGGAGGGGGAGTACTGTAGTGTATTTACTACTACAAAAATACAATTCCAATTCACTAGTATATAGGACATACTAACTCGATTCTATGTTGGGGTACGTTTTTATAGATGATGGTTGACATGGTCGATTACAGCTCTCCCCACATTATTATTTAAAATTGTTTTGTTATTTTTAGTGGCAACATCCTTCTGTGGTATGTGTTGTGTATGACATCACGAATGAAAATTCATTTAATAGCTGTTCCAAATGGTTAGACTTAGTAAGAAACACTGGACGTTACATGACAGTACCAGGTTTGTCATTAATTTGTGCTTTTAATAATCACATTATTAAGTCATACTTAATGTGTTGCATTATCATCGATTTATGCATATTTTGGTGTCTTTTGTCAGTTTTATTTAGCATTTGAAAATGTGTTTTAGGATATATTTCATCTTAAAATAATTTAACTAACTTCCAGTACCCTTTAGAGTCCTCTTAAAAAAAGAATTTTTCTTCCTTCATATTAATTTACAGAAAATAACGTATTCAGAATTTCCTTATTTGTTCCATAACTAAATAACATTTTTGAATGGTTTTTGTTTAATTTTGGATTATAACATAACATTTTGTTGTATAATTTTGAATTACTTTCGTTTAATTCCATGATAATATTTATAGATTCTTGAACTTTTTGACTGTGTTTTAGAACTGTATAATAAACATTAAAAGCCTAATAATGAAGAAAAATAAAAAATACCCTTTTTTCTTAAGACTTCAGAATAGTTTGAATTATTACTAAAGACTAAATTTGTGGCATTACATCGTAAAATTTCAATAAGAACTATAAGAAAAAAATTATCCTGTCTGAATTTATGGATGCACTTCTTGTATTAAAATTGCAAATGTTTTCATAAAACATACATGTTGTTCAAAAGTTTAATGGTGTTAGTTTTAGAAGAAATGTAAAGAGGATAGAAACACACATTACTATGCATAATATTGTTATTGTTGTCTTTCACTTCAAACAGCTATAATTGAAATGATTATTCACACTCAGGGTTGGGTTTTTGACGTCAAAAAGTGGTTTTTGACGTCAAAAAGTGGTTTTTGACATGACAAGGGTATAATACTGGTTTAAACCGTCAAAAATGTCAAAAACTGAAGTTTGCCAAGAAAATATATAAACTTCAAAACTACCAACAGTTGCCATGCATTATATTGAAATTTAATTATACTATAGGTAATCAGCAGGTTTTAAAATATTTTTTAATTAAAATTAAGGTAAAATAACAGATTTAAAATCTCAGAAATTTATATTCAAATGCATGTGCAGAAAAATTTTGCACAAAANTCCAGCTAGTTGGAAAGTTATCAAAATTTTGATTGCAAGTTTCAACCTTTATTGACACAATAGCAAGTTAATAAAAATGCAGCAGCATATCGTTATTTTATTAGTTGTGATGTTTTTATCAAAATTTTGTCCATGCATTTCTTTTACTTAGATTGTTATTTCCTATTGTTATTTTCTTCTTGTTATTTACTTAGATTGTTATTGTTTATAACAGCCAGAAAACAATTGCAGCTGGCATTGTTAATAGGCATAAATTTTCAGTACAGATTGAAGTGCTCCAGCTAGTTGGAAAGTTATCAAAATTTTGATTGCAAGTTTCAACCTTTATTGACACAATAGCAAGTTAATAAAAATGCAGCAGCATATCGTTATTTTATTAGTTGTGATGTTTTTATCAAAATTTTGTCCATGCATTTCTTTTACTTAGATTGTTATTTCCTATTGTTATTTTCTTCTTGTTATTTACTTAGATTGTTATTGTTTATAACAGCCAGAAAACAATTGCAGCTGGCATTGTTAATAGGCATAAATTTTCAGTACAGATTGAAGTGCTCCAGCTAGTTGGAAAGTTATCAAAATTTTGATTGCAAGTTTCAACCTTTATTGACACAATAGCAAGTTAATAAAAATGCAGCAGCATATCGTTATTTTATTAGTTGTGATGTTTTTATCAAAATTTTGTCCATGCATTTCTTTTACTTAGATTGTTATTTCCTATTGTTATTTTCTTCTTGTTATTTACTTAGATTGTTATTGTTTATAACAGCCAGAAAACAATTGCAGCTGGCATTGTTAATAGGCATAAATTTTCAGTACAGATTGAAGTGCTCCAGCTAGTTGGAAAGTTATCAAAATTTTGATTGCAAGTTTCAACCTTTATTGACACAATAGCAAGTTAATAAAAATGCAGCAGCATATCGTTATTTTATTAGTTGTGATGTTTTTATCAAAATTTTGTCCATGCATTTCTTTTACTTAGATTGTTATTTCCTATTGTTATTTTCTTCTTGTTATTTACTTAGATTGTTATTGTTTATAACAGCCAGAAAACAATTGCAGCTGGCATTGTTAATAGGCATAAATTTTCAGTACAGATTGAAGTGCTCCAGCTAGTTGGAAAGTTATCAAAATTTTGATTGCAAGTTTCAACCTTTATTGACACAATAGCAAGTTAATAAAAATGCAGCAGCATATCGTTATTTTATTAGTTGTGATGTTTTTATCAAAATTTTGTCCATGCATTTCTTTTACTTAGATTGTTATTTCCTATTGTTATTTTCTTCTTGTTATTTACTTAGATTGTTATTGTTTATAACAGCCAGAAAACAATTGCAGCTGGCATTGTTAATAGGCATAAATTTTCAGTACAGATTGAAGTGCTCCAGCTAGTTGGAAAGTTATCAAAATTTTGATTGCAAGTTTCAACCTTTATTGACACAATAGCAAGTTAATAAAAATGCAGCAGCATATCGTTATTTTATTAGTTGTGATGTTTTTATCAAAATTTTGTCCATGCATTTCTTTTACTTAGATTGTTATTTCCTATTGTTATTTTCTTCTTGTTATTTACTTAGATTGTTATTGTTTATAACAGCCAGAAAACAATTGCAGCTGGCATTGTTAATAGGCATAAATTTTCAGTACAGATTGAAGTGCTCCAGCTAGTTGGAAAGTTATCAAAATTTTGATTGCAAGTTTCAACCTTTATTGACACAATAGCAAGTTAATAAAAATGCAGCAGCATATCGTTATTTTATTAGTTGTGATGTTTTTATCAAAATTTTGTCCATGCATTTCTTTTACTTAGATTGTTATTTCCTATTGTTATTTTCTTCTTGTTATTTACTTAGATTGTTATTGTTTATAACAGCCAGAAAACAATTGCAGCTGGCATTGTTAATAGGCATAAATTTTCAGTACAGATTGAAGTGCTCCAGCTAGTTGGAAAGTTATCAAAATTTTGATTGCAAGTTTCAACCTTTATTGACACAATAGCAAGTTAATAAAAATGCAGCAGCATATCGTTATTTTATTAGTTGTGATGTTTTTATCAAAATTTTGTCCATGCATTTCTTTTACTTAGATTGTTATTTCCTATTGTTATTTTCTTCTTGTTATTTACTTAGATTGTTATTGTTTATAACAGCCAGAAAACAATTGCAGCTGGCATTGTTAATAGGCATAAATTTTCAGTACAGATTGAAGTGCTCCAGCTAGTTGGAAAGTTATCAAAATTTTGATTGCAAGTTTCAACCTTTATTGACACAATAGCAAGTTAATAAAAATGCAGCAGCATATCGTTATTTTATTAGTTGTGATGTTTTTATCAAAATTTTGTCCATGCATTTCTTTTACTTAGATTGTTATTTCCTATTGTTATTTTCTTCTTGTTATTTACTTAGATTGTTATTGTTTATAACAGCCAGAAAACAATTGCAGCTGGCATTGTTAATAGGCATAAATTTTCAGTACAGATTGAAGTGCTCCAGCTAGTTGGAAAGTTATCAAAATTTTGATTGCAAGTTTCAACCTTTATTGACACAATAGCAAGTTAATAAAAATGCAGCAGCATATCGTTATTTTATTAGTTGTGATGTTTTTATCAAAATTTTGTCCATGCATTTCTTTTACTTAGATTGTTATTTCCTATTGTTATTTTCTTCTTGTTATTTACTTAGATTGTTATTGTTTATAACAGCCAGAAAACAATTGCAGCTGGCATTGTTAATAGGCATAAATTTTCAGTACAGATTGAAGTGCTCCAGCTAGTTGGAAAGTTATCAAAATTTTGATTGCAAGTTTCAACCTTTATTGACACAATAGCAAGTTAATAAAAATGCAGCAGCATATCGTTATTTTATTAGTTGTGATGTTTTTATCAAAATTTTGTCCATGCATTTCTTTTACTTAGATTGTTATTTCCTATTGTTATTTTCTTCTTGTTATTTACTTAGATTGTTATTGTTTATAACAGCCAGAAAACAATTGCAGCTGGCATTGTTAATAGGCATAAATTTTCAGTACAGATTGAAGTGCTCCAGCTAGTTGGAAAGTTATCAAAATTTTGATTGCAAGTTTCAACCTTTATTGACACAATAGCAAGTTAATAAAAATGCAGCAGCATATCGTTATTTTATTAGTTGTGATGTTTTTATCAAAATTTTGTCCATGCATTTCTTTTACTTAGATTGTTATTTCCTATTGTTATTTTCTTCTTGTTATTTACTTAGATTGTTATTGTTTATAACAGCCAGAAAACAATTGCAGCTGGCATTGTTAATAGGCATAAATTTTCAGTACAGATTGAAGTGCTCCAGCTAGTTGGAAAGTTATCAAAATTTTGATTGCAAGTTTCAACCTTTATTGACACAATAGCAAGTTAATAAAAATGCAGCAGCATATCGTTATTTTATTAGTTGTGATGTTTTTATCAAAATTTTGTCCATGCATTTCTTTTACTTAGATTGTTATTTCCTATTGTTATTTTCTTCTTGTTATTTACTTAGATTGTTATTGTTTATAACAGCCAGAAAACAATTGCAGCTGGCATTGTTAATAGGCATAAATTTTCAGTACAGATTGAAGTGCTCCAGCTAGTTGGAAAGTTATCAAAATTTTGATTGCAAGTTTCAACCTTTATTGACACAATAGCAAGTTAATAAAAATGCAGCAGCATATCGTTATTTTATTAGTTGTGATGTTTTTATCAAAATTTTGTCCATGCATTTCTTTTACTTAGATTGTTATTTTCTAGTACATTTTCTTGTACTTTTCTTCCTTTGGTACAGTAGATAAGTTTTTTGCTTAAATTGATCTTATTTTCTCTTTCAAACTATAAAAATTGTATGTAATCCTAAATTGTAAAAATTTAATTTCTTTAAAATGTTTTATCTTTTGCTACATGTTTTTTAAATTTAGACAAATAACAAATGAAAGTGTTAGGCCTTATTAGGATGGTAGATTAAAATTCGTTTGATGTACATTAAAAATAAGAACGTAAAGTTAAACAATGAAAATTCTTAATTAATCTTAAAAAGTTTTTTTTTAAATTTTTATTTTAATTTCAAAATTTTTAATATTTTAAGAACTCT